ATTTACTTATAAAATTTAAGTACGTCAATTAATTTGATCAATAAGTCTGCAATTGTAAACGACATGTCGGCCGACTGTTTATAAACCAAAAATATACAATTTTAAAAATAATTTTTAAAGAAACAGTTTTTTAGTTTATTTATAACAAACTTTTTATAGTGTTCTCAATATAAAAAATAGGGACCGTGTTTTGGAACTTTTGGAAAGTTTATCTTGCTTAAATTTGGGGATATAACCAGGGACGATGATTTTCTGCGGCAATTAAACCAAAATTATGTCGTCATTAATTCGCAATTTGATAATTCTGCGATTTGAAAAATATGCTCTTTGAAAAAAAAAACTTGCAATTTTTAAAATACTAGCAATTTTAAAATACTGCGCTCAACTAAGCAAAAAAGTCAATCGGACTTAATTAATTACTACAAATATTCATAATTATTACCTGTAGTTAAAACTAGTTATATTCATTATTAAAATATTTGTAATTTATAATAATATTTTAGCTAGCGATAGACAAAATCTTTCTTAAATATGATGTACTTTAATAAATAAAAATATAATTTTTTTGATATTTTGAAATCGCAGAATTTCTGCAAAAAGACCATAATCACGTGAATTCTGCGGTATTCTGCATTTTGCAGAAAATCATCGTCCCTGGGTATAACTCAAGTTGGGATAGAATCCAGCGGGGTTATAACTCAGGTATGAACACTGATCGTATATGTGATTAATTAAACGTAACATCACTCAATCATATATGAGTGTGTGAAAGTGAAAACCTGTAACCAATCATAGTAAATCATTAAATCTATTTCTAAGTCTTCACTCTCACTCATATATATTTATATAACCAAATTAAGCAAACTTAAAATTTTTGAATTTAAATTAACAGCCTTTTAAAAAATTACTGAAATTGGCTAAAATGAAATCTGGTCTATTTTTATATGAAATTTTAAAATAAAAAAATTTTTTTTCTGCCTTTTTTTTTTTTTTAGGATTTAGGGTTATAATTGATACCGTATGTGGATTTTAGTAGGATTTATATTTTATTATATTTTCCAATTGAGACCCCAAAATTTCAGCATCAGTCAACTTCAGAATAGGGATTGGTTAACTGTTTAAAAATTGAACCATAATTCCGGGCAGAATTATGTTTGTCGTGGGCCGGAATTATCTTAATGCCGGCCAAATTAAGATTAAGAAAAATTTTAAGCGGTTCCAATCCGACCGGGGTAAAATCGCCACCCAAAAAAGTTTCGAACACCACATGGCAAATATATTGAGCAACAAATATTCATATAACTTGAACAAAAAATATAAACGAAAAAAAAATTATAGACTAACAAAATAATAACGATAAGCAATTTTGTTTAGAAAGTATATGATTATGGTTTTTATAAATATTTGGAATATTCCATTGCCTTTTAAAATAATTAAAGCCTCTTCCAATTTATACAATGGCTCTAAGTTTTTATTAATACTATTGAGCCATTGGTTATTATTTGGATTCATTATGTTTTCTCCAATAATTTTTTTTTGATGCGTTCTGATTCAAAACTTTTTGCTCAAATAAATAATCAGAGTTATAGTCTTCCGGAAGAGCATTAAAAATAAAATCTACAAGGTTTTCTGGCGCAATTGCATTTTCTTGATTAGTTTTTACAAATTTATTTCGACTTTCATTCTTTTTTTCGTTTATTATTAGTGAAAATTTGGTTACGGCAATCGATGTATATTTTCAAAATAATTAATTTCATGCCCTTAAAGGAATCACTTGGTTTGTCATTTTGAAGAATCGAGGAAAAAAAATTACTATATCAATTAATATCTTATAAATATTATTATCATGATTCTAATCATGATGAATTGACAATATCACGATTTTCGAAACTTTTTTGGGTGACGATTTTACCCTGGTCTTCCAATCCCTGCTTCAGCATCATTCACAATTAATAAATCTAACACCCCTAGCCGCTGTTTAAACTTCTTAATAATCCGATTTGCGATCATCACACACTCTAGCCACTGTTTAAGCTTCTGTCTTAATAATCCAATTTGCGATAACTGTCCTAGCGTTACCAACCTAAAAAATTTCACTGGCCAATCAGATTTCAAGATCAGGTGTGACGCAGAAGAAACGCGAAACATCAAAACAAACCAAAAACCCGCTCATAACTCAACATTTTATCTATGAAATCACCTTCTGCGCACAAACAAAAATTTTCCTTGCGAAATTATGGTACCACTAAAGCTCTTTCTAGCCTAGCTTAATAGCAAAACCTAATCCTAATCTAACAGCGAAATTTTTTTAGCGAAAGTTTTTAGGTGACGCTAGATCTGTTATTTGAGATCATTGTAACTGTACACTCTAGCCGCTGTTTAAACTTCATTCTTAATAACCCAATTTGCGATTATCGTCATAACGATAATAGTTCTTAAACATGTAACAAAGTTTTAACAAAAATTTCCTACTCAAATTTGGAATTTACATACTAGTTTAACGTTAACGTTAAACGAAATTATCTTATATCCATTACGAATTCTTGCTTTACAAAGAGGCCTAATGACAAATATAAGTTAATATTTAGCGAACTTTTTTTACGTTTTTTTTTCAAGACGGTTTGTTGTACTTCATATCCGTAACATTAATAGACCCAATAATTAGATTTAAAATGAAAGCAAAGTTTTTTGAAAAACTTTCAAATAATTATCTTGAACTTCTTAATGATAAAGAAGATTTTAATATAGTTATCAATGTTAGCGAATCTCCAAACACTAAAATATTCCATGCACATTCAGGCATTTAAGATATAGGTCCTTATATTTTCGTAGTGAATTGGCAAATATCAGTAAAGATGAGAATAATGTTAAAACACTTAATTTAAAAAATGCTACTTAGCCAGCAATTTGAAATTATTATCAAGTAAGTTATATGCATGAATGATGATTTATAGATTGATAATTTAAGATATATCTACGGAGGAGTAGTCCTACTTGAAAACTATGATGCATCATTTATTTTTGAGCTTATGCTTATTGCTAATGAATTTCTTTTTGATGAATTAGCTAACTATCTTGAAACTCATTTAATTGAATCGAAAGCTCATGGGCTTCGTTTACGTTTTACTTATATTTATCAAAAAAGTTTCCAAATCATAAGCTTCAACAATTACACAAAAATGGTGCAATGATATTTTATTAAGTATCCTGATAAGGTTTTTAATTCTGAAGACTTCGCCTCGCTTCAAGAAAATGCATTGTTCTCACTTATTAGTCGAGATGATTTACAATTGGAAAGATATAATAAATCAGTTTAAAACAAGTCAACCGATATTATCAAATGTTCTTCCGCCTCGTGTAATTTTATCACCAACATTACCAACTAGAATTACTGAACCATTTTCAAAAGTTATTAGTGAAGTACAGTACATGCAACTGAAATCGCTTCAGGATTGATAAACAACCTAATACGTATTCTATAATAAATAATCCATACAACTTTAAATTACTTCTTCGTGGAACTATAGATGGTTTTACCAAGGATTCATTTTGGAATTTATGTGATAAGAAAGCACATCTTGTTGTCGTTATGAAGATTAAAGGTACTGATGAAATTCTTGGTGTATACATATAATCCTATTGGATGGGATAAACCGGTTGAATTTTGTTGGTTCCTATAAAAGATGCGAAAATAGCTTTATTTTTCATTGAAAAATGGTACTATTCAAAATTCTATTTTAAGTCGTGTAAAAGAACCAGAATATGCATTTTTTCATCTGGCTGGGTTTTGACCATTTGGTGGTCTAGGTGGCTGTAATTCAGTTATGATAATTTTAATCAAAGTCGCAGATGTTGGAATTAATGTTGTTAGACAAAACCTTTTTGCAAAATGACAAAAGACGAGGCCTACCCCTCAACTGACAAAACCTCTGACGAAACTGACAAAATCTGCGAAATCTGCGAAACCTGTAAAACCTGCGAAATCTCTATAAAGACAAATTTCTTATAGATGGCGAAATTTCTGATAAAAGTTAAAGCCCTTTATAAAGAATAAAGCCTTCGGTAAAAGATAAAGCCTTAAAGGCTATGTTATTGTTTTGATGTAAAGTTATTATTTTGGAATAATTTTTGATTAAAAACTTATCATTGTTAAGATGTAAAGCCATTGTTTGGATGCGAAGCCATTGTTTGGATGCGAAACTATTGTTTAGACGAAAAGCCATTGCTTTTGTATAATTTTTAATTAAAAGCGATGTTATATTTTAAATACAGAATTATAATTCTTAAATAGTTTTTGATTAAAAACTGTATCATTGATTAGATACAAAATTATTATTTTTGTATAATCCCTGATTAAAGGTTATTCTATAGTTTGAATGTGATGTTATAATAATTTTTTATCATGAAATTGGATGATGGTGAAATTTAGAGGTCTTGATTTGAAAATATAAGTTCTACCAAAATCCATCTATAATAACTATACCCCTAAATTCTATCTTAACTATAAAAATAAGCTAACAAAAAAGGCCCAAAAATTTTTTAAAAATCTATATAAAATAGATCCATCATCTGATTTCATGATCATCTGTAACAATTTTTAATCAGCATAAATTAATTAAAGCCACATATTAAACTTTGTAAATGTATAAATTATGGTTGTAAAATTTAATAGCATAGTTAATAATTATAAAAGTAAATTAATAAATAAATAGATATAATAGTTTTTTTTTATGTAAACAAAATCTATTAACTATATGATTGTAAAAATTATAAAGTTTTTACTTCTACTAAAGATTAATTATTAAGTATTTGATTAAATATTTAATAAACAAATAATTAATAAAGAGTATATGATTTTTTGTTAAATAATAAAAAAATCTTGAGAGTATTTATAATTAGAAACATAATAATATAATATTGATGTATTATTAGTTTAGAGTAGATTTTTTTAAGAATTATTAGTTTATATATTAAATATTAATGTGATATACAACATATGCAAATATTAAAGTAAAATTATTGTTTATAAAAATATTTTTTATTTTGTATTAGACTAGGTATTAAATCTAAGTAGAAATAGTTACTATAAGACTCAAATATATTCCCAAAGGTAAACTACCTTTGTGGTTTAGTACATTAGAAGACTTAGTATTTGAAGATTAACACAACTATATACTACTTAACCAGTACTAACAAGCAAAACCTAATGTCTTTGCTATTAGTTCTTATTCTACTTCTAAAAAATCTAAGCCCTGGATAATTACTATAAATAACAAGGAAATCATTTTTGAGAAAATTCATAAACAGTATCCAAA